CCCCGCTTCAATAACTGCAATTATCGTTCCCAAGAGGTGTTCGGGATTGCTTATTTGAAACGACTTATACTTTTCTACAAAAGTATTTATCAACTTATTATAAGTCATAATGGTTTGATTTCTTTTAAAACTCCTTATTACCGGTTTGACACCGATATAAGTTGTTTATCCAAACACTCAAAAATGTTTATTACTGATATCACACCGAAATAAGTCAATAAATTGTTTTTATTAGCAATTCTAAACACCCCATTAAGGTTTAAATTTTGCTTTGACATTAGTCCCTCAAGTTAACTCAATTCATTTTTTTTTTCTGTTAAGTTAAGGGTATTTTTGTCTTTTTATAATTATAAGGAGAAGCTTATACAATTTTGTTAAAGCGCGGGTACCAAATTGTAATTTACTCTAATTTATGTTGATATTATACATATATATATATATATATATATATAAGTATAACATACATAGGCACACGGACACAGAGACCATCACCGCCAATCATCTCCGGTGGTCTCTAGTTATACATATGTACACATACATGTATGTATATATAAATGTGTCTGGTTATATACATATACGTGCATATATTATATATAATGAAAAAATATATAGTTTTTTTTATATATAAGTGGAAAATATATATGTATGTGTGTGTGAGCGCACGATGAAAATATAGATTTTTTTTACAGTTTTGGTTCTTGAACTTTGATTTGAGTCAAAACAAAAAAGATAAAGAAGAATACAAGGACCAAAATGCCCCATCACTTAATGGACTAATCTAATGAAGTTAATGACGAAAGATTATTTTCAAAGCAAAGTGTAAAGAGTATGGACGATAATTGTAGTTATTGAAGTCCAGTGACCACTTTCAGAGATTCGTGTGAACTATAGAGACCAAAATTATAGTTTACTAGTGGTAAAGGCTTGGGCATGACATAGTCATGAACCCAAGTTCGAGCTCTGGGAGGGAAGTGTTGGCGACATTTAAGTGGGGCCATGTTTAGCCTCTAAATTTGCCGGGGATTAGTCGGGCTTTGGCCCGGACACCCTTACAAAAAAGAATAACTTAATTTAAATCCAAAAGAGCTGAACTAATATCCTCTTAATTAAGTTAAAATCATGAAAGAAGTTGTATAAAAGATCAAGAGAATCTTGGAAAAGAAAAACAACCGAAGAACTATGAAAATTGAATCGGAAAATTTATTGGATGTCAAATTAAAGATAATAAAATTATTGATTTTTAGGTGTAACTCTTTCAGTTTGCCGATTTTCGACCTAAAAATAGGGGGTATTTTTTAAAAATGTAATTATAACCATTATTTTAACTACAGCCATTGGATCATCTTAATCTAACATGTTAGATGTGTTCTTTAGTTCTTTTTTTTTTTGGATTCTCGTCTGATCTCATCCTAAAAGTTATTTATAATTTTTATAACCGACAACTATGACTTTATAAAGAGTTCATAAGTCTAATTTTTGTCTTTATGAGAACGGTTGTTAAAAAAAGTAACTTTCAGTAGTAATATAGAAAACAACCGTTACCATATATGATTTTATAGGGATATGCTAAATTTAACAGTGCATATCATACCATACTTTCAAGTGATATATATATATATATATATATATAGGGGCCTATTCAAGGGAGAACTGAATTGTTTGTGGTAACTGTGAGAACCAATATTAACCACAAATCAATAGATAAATTAGGAAATTTATAAATTTGGTAATTTTAAATTAAAATCTTAATGCAAGGATATTT